AAAATGTGGTCCACACCACTTCAAATTTTGTTCTTCACATTTTTCTATAAATAAATAAATAAAAAGTTAGAAGTTTAATTTTAGAAACTACTAGTAATATAACTTTAGTTTTATGATTTTTGTTTTGCAAGTAGGTGTTATACATCATTCTAGAGATTGACGAATTTTTATTTTTCACGTATTTACCTTGTGTCTGAAGTTAGTTTGACAAAGTCTAACTCGAGACACAATAACTAAAGTTTCGTACGCTGAATTTCAGGTAAATGTGGCTGACGATGAGTCATTTTTGCCACATTTAAGCTATTTTTGCTTGAACTTCAGTCATTTTGCCTGATTTCCATCTTTTTAGCTTGATTCCAACCGTATATGCATAAACTTCAAACTAAAATAGCTTAAGTCAAGCAAAAATTACTAAAAAATCCAACTATTTTTAGCTGAGCTTCAAGCAAAGCTAATGAACACCAGTCATATATAACTTCAAACGTTGTGTCTGAAGTTTGATTTTGTCAAATCTAACTTCATTTATCGCTTGTCTGAAGCGGGTATATGTACAAAAGAAAATTGAGAAGGCAGCTACATGGAGGCCCAAATACTACTAAACTAATTCGGCCCACTTCTCAATCTACATTGGAGGCCCATAAATTTTAGGCTTTTAGCCCACTTCTCAACTTATACTATCGGCCCATAAATATGGGGTTTTAGCCCACTCTCAACTACTGTATCCTATATTCCACCTATAAATATAAATTAAATAAGGTATTTTGAAGAAACTTGGTAAACTATGGTCTGCATTATAATTATTATTAGCAACTATAGTTTGTCTCGTTATGATTTATAACTATTATTTTTAAGCTATATCTATTCAATATGTATCTATTTATTTTGTCAGATATTTGTATGTGTTCGATCAATCTAATTGTATCAACACATGCAATTTTGCTTGATATATTATATTTGTTTTTTTAATCGAGTTGTATCCGTGCACAAGCAAATTACATCATGTATCCACACTCATATTCATTCTGTTTCAATTTACGTGATATACTTTCAAGTTTATCACAAAAAATATTATATTTGTATAATTGAAAATATATTAATTTTAATATTCTCCTTAAAGTTACGGAAATGATCAATTCTAGAAAAACGTCACATAAATTGAGACTATAATTTTTTTTCCATTTCTAGTTTCTTCTAGATTCCAGAAAGAATATTTCTAGAACTCTCTACATTCACCTCAAATGGTCCTTTTTCAGTATTTTTGATGAATGAATGAACTCGTTTTATTATCACTGCAAAATCTATCCAAACAAGCCCTTAAATTCACCGATCGGAAAATCTCCTTTCTCATTTCCGTCCACCGGTAATTATCATGTCGACGGTGACTTCGTCGCAATACAATTACTTGAACGGCACATACTTTCCGACGCCGTTTCATCTCCAACAACAACCATCGCAGCCCTACATTGGCTCTGCTCCTTCGCCAATTGCTCCTCCCGTCTATTCTGCTCCGGCAGCTGTTCCCGACGTTTACTCTTTACCTCAGTATTTACAGGTAAGTATTTCAATTTTCAACTTTTTTTTTTGTAAGAATTGATTCTTATGAAACAAATTCGACCTGTTGTTTGTAGATTAATAATAACATTAATTTTACTCTTGATGAACTGACTTGGTTTGAGATAGGGAGGAAAAAACAGAGTTGATTTTTCAGATGCATTATTCACTCATTAGTGGCTCGTATGTAATGTAAAAATCTTAATATTATTGGCATAATACGTAAATAGACACTCAAAACTGGCCTCAACGGGCAACTAAACACTCCAAACTTTGCTCTCCACTATGTCAGTTGAACACTTCAATTTACAAAATGATTATTTAGACACTTCCAAAATTTATGTCACATTAGCATCAGGTGTCTACGAGAGTCAGTGGGAACAAGTTTGAGTGTTTAGTTGTCCGTTGAGACCAAGTTGAGGTGTCTAGATGGGTACTCTTAAAGTTCGAGTGGTTACTTGCCAGTTTGAGTATGTGTTTATGTATTATGCCAATGTTATTTCTTCTGTAATTGATTGTACTTATTAAGATATCTTGGTTGGTGAGTTTTATCCATCATATGTGTACACGTGAATGTATGCCTGTTGTGTAAATTTTTGATATGTTTACACAAATTGCATGCTTCTTAGTTCCCCGTTAGCAAGCCAATGGGAAAAGAAAATTCTTCATTGAAGTATTTGAAGTAGAGCCACTGTACATCTTTATCCATATTGTTTTTTAAGCTTGCAATTTGTTCCTCTCGAAAAAATAAGATTTACTTAGCAATGTGTCTAACGTGCCTAATTCTAATGGGCAGACGCAGCAACTATTTCAAAGAGTTGCACAAACAATCACGCCCGAGGCAATTAAGAATGTGAAAGCTGCACTTGCAAGCAGTGAGATTGAGCAAAAAGCTGAGGTGAAAAAGAAAGCTGTGCCTCGAAAGGCAGCAGGACAGACTTGGGAAGATCCTACTCTTGCAGAGTGGCCAGAGAGTAAGCTCGCTTGCTCCGTTTAATTCTTTCTTCCAATTCAAATTTGTGTCAAATGGTTGAATTCTGTGTTTACCCAATTAAAACACTTGAATTCTGTTTAGTGTGGTTGTTCCAATTGGTTTCCTTGAGTTCCGGATAGTTTTAGACATGAATTGAGTTAAGTAGTATCTTCTTATGAAGGGTTGTGGCAGTGCTTATAAGAATGTCAAAGCTGTGATGTTCTGGATAACTGTGTAATTGTTGGTCTGGGGTTTGGGAAAGTGCTAAACCAGTAAATTACCATGCAGTTGAAGGTCTGGAAATTTAAGGAAAAACAGTTATGAATGGTGAATGTCACCTTACACCTGTGTCGATCATGTAGGAAAATAAAATAAAGTGTCATTTCATATTTTGATCCAACTTCCCTTGAAAACTAAATATGTTTGGAAGTCAGATGCATGACCAAAGATCATAGTTCAGGCGACATGAAAGAACTGAGTATTGAAAAATATTTTATCGTATACAGGGGATGCACTCTATATTTGCCAAAGGTTTTCGGTAGAGGGGAGGGAAGCCTTTTCTTTTGAGGCCAATGCTGCAGTGTAAGCAACATAAAGTTTGATGCAAATACTATAATGAATGCATACCTGCCCAGCAAATGATTGTCTAACTTCCCCATATGACTTTCTTAGCACTTCATCTTGTGCTCTGTTTGCTCGATTGTTGGCTTTTGTTGTAAGATGGTTGTCAGTTAACTCAATTCTATTAGTTGGCCGACTAAATTGACTATTGGGGTCATGCAGATAATTTTCGGTTATTCTGTGGTAACCTTGGGAATGAGGTGAATGATGATGTTTTATCAAAAGCATTTTCAAGATCTCCTTCCTTTAACATGGCCAGGGTAAGTTCTTTTATCATCATTTCATGTTTTCCATTAGTGAAACTTTTAATTGTTATACATGGACTTGTGTCGGTTACATGTCTTTCGAGCCGAGGGTCTATCAGAAACCACCTCTCTGCCCCTCACAAAGATAGGGTAAGGTCTACATATATCATACCCTCACTTGTGTGACTACATTGGGTATGTTGTTGTTACGAACTGACAACTTCTGATGATGATCATCAAGGAGTGGAGGTCTTCATATCTATAATTTTTCTTCTTTCTTTTATCGTTTTTGTCCATATCTCAAGACATTCATGAATATGGGGGAGAGCTTTGATTTATTAAAAAAGGGGGGAAAAGAATTTCAGAATGGTGTTGTGACGTGGGAGAAGGCCATTGTTGGGCTCTTGGATGGAACCAAACTTGTACTGCTCACCTCAGCATGTGTTATAGTGTTTTTCTCTTTTCCTGTTTGTTGTTTAGACTGCATATGTTCACAGTTTCCATGCACATGTTAGCACTAAACTGAAGAATGTTGCTAAGTACATTCATCGTTCATGTAATGTCTTAACTCCATGACAGGTCGTGAGAGACAAGCCGACTGGTAAGACCAAGGGATATGGATTTGTTAGTTTTTCCAACCCTTCAGACCTTGTCGTGGCACTTAAAGAAATGAATGGTAAGTGGTCTTTCCATATTTGTAAGGCATAGTCTCTACTTTGCTTCTGCTACATTAATATAATCGACGTCTTAAATGGCATAGCTTGATATTTGAAGATCACCACACCGGAATGGTATGGGATGATAACCAAATGGATCTGAAATTTTATTCTGTTTGTTGATGCCTTATATGGTCTCTTTCTATCCCTTGTTTGATGTCATAAGGTCAAAAGATTTGGCCCGACAGAAGAGTGTTATCTGCAAACCCCTCCCCCAATGCGAGAAGTTTTGCTGGATGACCCAGCACCACAACAACTAGGAGTGTGCTGTTGAAGTCAAATTAGGTAAAGGAAAACAAGGAAGGGGAACTTTCAGTTAAGAGTATTTGAGCAGTGTGGTTTTCTTAGGTTTCTTTGCAAAATGGATGTGTTTGTTGTTGTCATAGTTATTTAACCGGCAGTATACTTTCCACCAAACTTTCATTGCTCGAATCCCTAAGTGACAAGGTAAAATCTTTCTGATTTCAGGGAAGTATGTTGGGAACCGGCCAGTTCAACTTCAGAAGAGTAAGTGGAAAGACAGGATTGACTATGAGGCTTTGACAAGACAGAAGGTGAGTGTATGTTTTCGCTGATGAAGCCCACATACAATGGCTTTCACTAACCAGTTTCTTGTTGAATGTTCTGGCAGAATCTGTCTCCAAAGAAAGCAAAGTCACCAAAGAAGAGCGTATTGCACAAGTGACCGCCAAACTTATGGAGTATAGCTTAATAGAAGGAGTTTTAGATGAAATGAATGATATTGAGTAATTGATAGCAGTATCTAATTTACAATAATGTCAAGTATTAATCTAACTCCTCAAAGTCAATTTATTCATGAATCACACCTTTAAATTGAGATAATTATAAGTTTTTTGTTTATATTACATTTGCCTTAAGGTACGTTAGAGAACAAAAAATACCCTCATTTGAAAGAAGTGAAAAAGTTGATTGTGTCCTTGAGTGCATCGATGAATCTATCAACGTCGTCTTTAGTATTGTAGAAATGAAGGCTAGCTCGTGCGCTTGCACTGATTCCCAAATGTCGATGGAGAGGCTGAGCACAATGGTGACCTGATCTAATAGCTACACCATGCTGTAGAAAACATTGCTATTTAGAAATATTTCATTTACATGACTTTTTAACCAACAACACACATGCTCTAGTGGACTAGCTTACAAATGCCCTCATTTTTCTAAGAGAAAAAGATTGTAGCTATGCAAGAGCTAGGGTGGAGTTTTATTTCCCATACCTGTTGATCAAGGAAGGTAGCGATATCTGTAGGGTGAACATCTTTAACATTGAAAGAACAAAGAGCCGCTCGCTTAACAGTTCGTGAAGGTGCAGGCCCATAAATACGAACATCAGATACAGAAGAGAGACGATCATACAAATAGTTACCCAGCTCCATCTGAGGAAGAACATGAAAATGGGAAGAAACATATCACCAAAATCATTCTTTATCGGGATGTTGTTGATTGATTAACTTCACTCAGTTTCTAGATGATTCTAAAGATAAGCATTAATCTACATTAAGTGACAACATCCAATACAAGATAGAGTTAGTTGTGCCAATTTTTGGGACTTCTTCTAAAAGGCGTTTCAATAAAATAAGTGGCGTAAAGCCAAATTATAATAAGAGGTCTTAAATACACACACATACACAAAATATTATTAATTTAGGATCATCTTTTTTTGTTCTTACTTACTACTTGTGTTTAAGGTATATTCTTAAAAGACATTAAGCGCTTAACTTCACATAATAATACTCATTATTATTTATAAAAGTAAGAATCAGTTCTAGTTAATAAGAGGTTAGACATTTGTTTGAAATACGTCATGTTGGGATCATCTTTTTTTGTTCTTACATACTACTTGTGTTTAAGGTATATTCTTAAAAGACATTAAGCGCTTAACTTCACATAATAATACTCATTATTATTTATAAAAGTAAGAATCAGTTCTAGTTAATAAGAGGTTAGACATTTGTTTGAAATACGTCATGTTGGATGTTGATGTAAAAAATTTATTCATTAATATGAAGCTTTGATTTGTTTAAATAAAAGTTCTAAACTTTCCACTATGAACTAACATTCTTCCTATGTAAGCCCTCCACATGAGCAACTTTGTTCCATGTGGCGCCTATGTGGTGTAATGATGCGGCAGGTCGTCATACTTTTCCCCACTTGATGTTGTGATGACCACGGCGCATTACTATTGTGCAAACTCTCGTGTCTTATCTTTGAATATCCACTAGTCTTCATATTGTTCTCGTGTAGCTTCTTCTGATGATTTCCCCTTCCAATGGACGTGGAACACAACAATGGCTTTTTGTCTTTGTCGCCCTCAAAACTTGCACTGGTTTCCAAGAACATCGACCCTTCCATCTTGAGCCCCTTCACAAGTTGTATAGCCGAAAGGTGTGCTTGATTCTGTTTGTGGTATAGTAATAGTAGGCATCATACAAGCTCATTCTCGTTCCATGACCCATAGACAATGGAGATAGGGTCGATCAAGGTATGACATTGTGTTGTTGTTGATGTACTTCCTTGCTTTATGTGGTTGTTGATCAAATTTGTGGGTATCTCGAGTCTTGTGGTGTTGTTGATGTACTTCCTTGCTTTAACCACAGCCTCCTCCACACTTAGCAATGCCATCCTCTGACTTATTGCCTGTCTTTGTCATACTTCTCATTCTTGAAATCCATACTTGTCAGCGTTGCAATTCCTACTTAGCCTGATTTTGCAACCCTTCCATAAAGTGAAACATTATGTCACCACTAGTGAAGTCAGTTATTTGAAGCGTAAGGGTCATGAACTCCCTAACGTAGTCCAGTATGCTCCTTGTGTGCTTCAACTCTCTAAGTTTTCTTCTTGCATTGTACACAACATTATTTAGGAAGAACTGTCGCTTGAACTCGACCTTGAACTCATCCCATGTGTTGATAGTGCACAAACCTATCTTAGCATCAGTCGATTTACGTCCCCACCATAGCATGGCAATCTCTGACATGTACAACACCACAATGTTGATCTTGGCATCATCATCCCTTACATTTCCATGTCGGGAAAAGTTCTCCAAGTGCCAAAGAAAGTACTCTACTTCTTGTGTATCACGAACCCTTTTGAACACTGGTGGCTTGGAAGCCTCGATCTTTGCCTGCCTCGTCATGACAATATTTCTTGCGGTTTTAGTCACGCCAGTGTTGATATGTTCTTCGGTGCCTCCATCTTTGCCTTCATGGCATCGATAGTGCTCAACGCCTCCCTGAGTTTGCACTCTAAAGTAGCGATGGTCTGCCTCATCTCTACCTCGGTATGTGTACGCACATCCAAGTCATTTCAGATGCTTTCAATCTCTTCAAGGGTATGCCTCTCAAGAACGCTTAGTGTGACTTCTACTCTCCCTAAGCATTGGCCAAATATCTCGATAGCGTCAATCCCCGCATTAACCTTCATGGCCCACTCTCTATCGAGCAAGACGTCCTCAGGCAGGACTTCCACATCATCCTTGCTCAGTGGTAGAAGGTTCTTGGGATGTCAGGCTTTCATTTGGCTCAACCTCGAGCGGCACCTCCTAGTTCTTGTTGGCGACATTCCTCTTTTTGCTATAAGGCATCCTGTGTGGGTAAAGTCTTCCAAGGGATTTCTCCACATATCTCTAGAACTTCCACTATAAACTAGCTTTCTTCCTATGTGAGCCCTCCACATGAGCAACTTTGTTCCATGTGGCACTTATGGGGGGTCTATGTGGCATGATGATGCGGCGGATCGTCATACTTAGTAGCAAATACTGAAAGCCACAAACCCAGGAAGACGGTTTCTCAAAGTCTTCTTTGAAGCTGGAGCTTAAAAACTAAAAAATTCAAAAAGCAGTAAGCATAATCCAACCACTACTTTAGATCTCTTCAGTATAATGCAAAAGTGTGGTGCATTTTTTGCGCAAAAGTGTGGCACATTTTTTGCCTCATACAAATTTGTGCGCAACCATCTATTATTATTGTTATTTATTTGTGTGTGGCTGGCGGGTGGGGAGGGGGGATAGGTAATCTAGATGCTACCATATGGAAGAAGGAAATTAGCAAACGGAAATGTAAACGGATTCATGAATTTCACAGAGTGTAAAAGTATGTCTCTTTCATGAATATGAGGTTAAGGGATAAAAGGCCTACCTCATAATCATGAATCTGTTGCATGCCAATTTCAGAAAGATAATCAATTGCAGCTCCAAGCCCAATTGCTTCTCCAATTGCGGGAGTCCCAGCCTCAAATCTGATCCCAATTACAAAAAGGGTTAGAAATTGAAACTTAGAAGAGAACTTTGATTTAAAAATTACTCGTAGCTGATTGAGCTTTAGCCATAACACTGAAGATCCAGGTCTATGTATTATTTCCAGATCCAATATAAAGTTAAAAAGAATTTAGACATAATAATAAGATGAGAAGGGCTAATCAAAGTCATCAGCATAGAGGCTTTGATTATCAATGTCATGTATAGAATTTAAAACATACCCCCCCCCCCCCACAACCCCCCACCACCACAAAACCAAAAGGGAAAAAATTATATAGGAGAAAAATTAAGACATAAGCATAGTATGATGATCACAGAATCAAGATATAACATTTCCCCAACAGTAATAGGAACCAATGACAATGAAGGGAAGATGAAGTTTCCAAGTTGATCTATCTTGACGATGGATGCGACCAGAGCTATTATATTTAGCAGACAGTACTTTATTCAATATAAGTGGAGCAAGAAAAGGATCCAAGAAACACAGCTTGAGGTTAGATGTAATGGAAGTAATATCTAGAGATGATGAAAATGGAGAAGTAGATAAACTAAAATCATAACAACTCAATAAGATTCCAGGATCATGGTTCAAGGCAGGCATTGGATGCAGTTCAGCTTGAATGGACAAAAGAACAGCTAGCTAGTTGTCAAAGTATTGCCAGAAAATTCTATAGGAACACGGGAAAAAGAACAAACCTCGAAGGAGGTTCAGCATAAGTGGAATGATCCAAATACACATCAGCTATCATTTCGCCACCACCTGTAATTCAAGGGACAGGAACACAAGTTAAGAAACTGCTTGACTGAAATCACAGTTAAATATCATTTTTTGAGAATTAATCAATGATAAAACCACATTTAAATATGTTATAATCATTCTACACATGGCATCAGATTTATCAAGTACAAGAACTCCGAGCTGAAGAAGCGGAATGTCGGTAAAAGATGCTTGGCTTTGAATTTTCTTGTTGAGAATCAAAGTTAAGGAGAAGTTACATACCAAGGAAAGGAGGCATGCCAGAAAGGATCTCGCTCTTTCCATACAAGAATCCAACGCCTGTAGGCCCACACATCTGAAGCATGTTTAATCTCAATTTCTGCTACTCAATGAAGAACCACTTATATAGTAAATGGCATTGTCCTAACCTTATGAGAGGAACCAACAAGAAAATCAGTGTCTAGATTCTTAACATCGACCACCATGTGTGGGACACTTTGACAAGCATCTACAATCACTTTTGCTCCAACATCATGTGCCCAACTTATGACTTCATCCATAGGAAGAACAGAAGCTGCATATAAAATGGGGGTAGCACTAAGAAGAGACCAATGGACAAGAAACAGATGAATAAAAATATGGGAAATTAAATGCACAAAGAGAGTGTATCTGATTTGTTAGAGTCAAATTCAATGAAGTATTTGCTGGCTTTCATTTCCTTTTCTCACAGGTCCAACTGTATGAATTACTTGTTTGCTTACTTCTATTATTTTTTCACCAAGTTTCGCCAAGAGCAATATAAAATGATAAGTGAAGAGGCAATCCTTCCCAGAATTCCGATATATCATACAAAACTACTAATCATTATCTTCCAGTTGTTCTGTTCCCAATCAACTTTCAGTTAAGCAACAGAAAAGAGGAGCATCGGAATGAAGAATCCTTTTAAGAATATCAGCTAAATCAGAGAGTGCCACAAACTTGAAAATTATGAAAAGCAGGTGTAGTCAAGAGAAACCTGATATAGAACAGTTCCTGCAGGTTTTATGCAATAATTGATCCACGCTTAAAAAGACCTTCCTAGGTCAAGGAAAATTCTAGACGAGCTTGGTTCATTTCTACTATTTTCATATCAGTATATGAAGTTGAAAGTAAATCTGTTATTCTGCAACAGTTTCTATTAATTTCTTTCTGACTATGACTAGCAGTAGTTCTTTTGAGATTTGAGAATGACACTATGACTAGGAGTGGCTCATGCAACGGAAAGATCAATTTGACCACTTTTTTTCCTTTTGAGGTCAATATAAATGCAGAGTAAGGAGTGTTTTTGCAAAGTTAAACTAAGAGCGTCATTTATTATCTCTAGCATTCCATCAAACTAAGATGGAGGTTGAATTGTAGGTCCACAAGATCCTTCTTTTATATGGAAATCAAAATTAGTGGTAAGCTATAGAACAATTATTCACCAACCTAACATATTCGAGACATGATGCATGACCAAAAGTTTTGTGCTCCTTGAGAGAAAGTCTCTTAATTGCCCTACATCTGGAACTTCATCCTCTGTCAAATTTACAAACCTCAGGACAGCACCAGTCTTTTGAGCAACAATTTGCCAAGGAACAATTGCACTGTGATGTTCAGCTATTGTGGTTATAATCTGCAAAGTTAGCAGACAGCAATTTGTAGTCAAATACCAGCAGCATATCTAAGTAACTTTCACAACTGCTAGAAAACTTTAAGAGACTGGATGATCCTCACAAATAACTAAATCCAGACATTAAACATATATCAAGCTTTGGAAGAAAGAAAATACACCTCATCTCCTGGTTTCAAGTTTGAGAGTCCCCAAGAATAAGCCACTAAGTTGATAGCCTCAGTAGCATTTCTTGTAAAAATGATCTCTCTAGCTTCGGCCGCGTGAATGAAATTTGCCACCTTTTGTCTTGCTGACTCATACTCATCTGTCGCCTTTGCGCTTGGTTCAAAATGATGATAAAAACTAGTCAATATCGCATATCTAATAAACAATCAATCAACTATGCCTCAATCCTAAATTAGTGTGTTGGGTTCTATTAATCTTTTGTATCTATTCCACTCTATTCAAGTCCATAGTGTACATAATAATCGTATAAAAGGAAGATCCCTAACCACAAGCCTATAAAAAGAAAATTCGAAATGAATTTCTTTTTATGGAGAGATAAAATAAAATTCCAACGAACTTGTAGATTTTATTATATCAATTGTAAAAGATGTTGAATAGAAATCTTTTCAAGTTGAGTACCTCAAATAATGAATGCCCCGGTGGACATTGGAATTGTAAGCTTCATAATAATTCTGCAAAGCTTTGATTACAGCTGTTGGCTTCTGGGAAGTTGCAGCATTGTCCAAATATACAAGCTTCAAGCCATTTATCTCCTGCAAATATCACCATCATATCATTCCATGCAACATAAAATCCTACGACACCATACCCAACATTAACCAAATACACTTTTTCACCTTCAACTTCAAATACTACTTTTTTTCCAAATCTAGACCAACTCATTCAAAATGCCTACTAATAGAGTATTGGATCATTCCACTTAGCTTACTTATGGCACTCAAAATTTTAGTTTTATGCTAGCATTTCTACAGGATCTTAACTCTGCCTATGTGCAAAGCACAGCTGATCTCAAACTCGGATAAGAAAAAAGAATGGCTGCAGCATGCGAAAAGCCACCATTATAGTCAAATCACAATAAATACATTGAATTCATACAATCTATTTGGGGATTAAGCTGATAAATGTATCCATATAACATATACACACATCAAAGAAGTCGGCGTATACTGAAACACGCATTTCTAGCACTGCTGAGTTTTTAGCAAAAACAGTTTAGGCAAAATTAAAGTTTTTTAGAGTTTTTATAAACAATTGCACAATACTATTTTGAAAAACTGAGTTTGTAACACTTCCTCCAAAACCTTAAAAACTGAGTTCGCAAAAAACTCAAACACCAAAATTCTTCCATACTGCCAAAAGCTGAATCAAAATTCACTTAAACAAATTCCATATACATAAAGTAATCAGCAAGAGGTAAGACCTGGTGAAGTATAGGGAAGTCGGAACGGGTGATATGCCCTAGCGAACCGGGTCCAAGTTTCGGGCCTTCTGCTAATGGAGCTGAAGCTGATGCTGCTGAAGCTGAAATATGTAACCGCCGGTACCTCCATGGGAACGAATTGGAGCTCCGATTGGTGAAATTACTGTTCCGGCTAACCGACCGGAGACACGGCAATTTCAGAATTGCTCCTTCCATCGGCGTCGTCGTCGTCGTCGTTATCATCGTCGGCTGTGTGAACTGCAACTACTACAAGCTGTTATCCTTACCTTGTTTTATTGAAATTACATTTAACTCCTTATTCAATTAAGACTCGAACCCAATATCTTATCATTAAAATTTAAAGTGAACCAAAATTTTTGATCCCGTCTTATTCTTTCGATGCGATACATCAATCTTCTTAATTCTTAAAATACTATAACTTTTAATAATTTTAGACATACATAATTTAGTCATTACACGACCTATAATTGACAAATAATACTTATAATCGTGATCAACAAGCACGATTTATGCTTATTATGAATTGCAACTAACAATTGACTTTACATTGTAGGTACAATAGGATTTGAGTAGATCGTTTTACCCTCAAAATATTATTATTTTGGATGATTATAGACGTATATAATTTAGCTATAACAAGACCTATAATTGATAAACAATATCTATAATCGTGATCGACAAACACAATTTATGGATATGATTTATAAATTATGAAGATAAATATGATTTATATGTTATAGTTTTAATTACATATTTATAAAATTATCGCTAACATAAAATATGTAATGTATATCAATTATTCAAAAATAAATTTTATGAATCACAATTGATAAATATGTTTTAGAAGATGTTTTTCGAACTTCAAATTATATATTTTGAGTTAAAGTTGAAATAATAGGCTAATCGAGTAAACAAAGAAAGTTTTAAAATAATCTTTTGGAACCAATATTGTGTAGTAACACAGATGTATACGTATTTGAGTGTTATAGACGAAAATTGAGAAATAGATGGATGAAATTGCAACTTCCATAAAAGTCTGAGGGTCAATATAACTTTCAAACCAGAAGTAAAACCCTAGTAGCAGGAACTGAGCTCAGTGAACTGAGAGTTAACTTCATCTCCGGCGACTTCTCTATCGCGCCGATCACATCTCCGGCAACTTCGAAAACGCGCCGATCTGCGTTGAAGGTATTCGGTTTATCTTTCTGTATCTCATTATATAGTAGTTCCACAACCCTCAGCTCTCCGTTTTTATCTGCTACGTTTCTTAGTTTTCTGGTGTAGAAGCAATGCACAGGAAGGAAAATTCTCATGCAAATGTAATTCCTTAGGTTTTGAGCTACTAGAATTGATAGGAAAAGGAAAACTGAAATAGTTTAATTAGCAATGATATGAAGTTACTGAGAGCTGAAATTTATGATCTTTGTTATTATTTGTCTTGTTGTATTTGGTTGTTAACAATTTTTACATCCGTTGGCGGAGCTAGTATCTTCACTGAGTGGCTCAAAATATGGATAAGTAAACACACGGAGAAGTCAAAGGAGGTTCAACATCAACCATATATACGGAAAAATAATTTTAATCACGTATAAACAACGTAATTTTCAGCCAAAATGATTCGGATGAACCTCCTAGGCCCTATTTGGCTCCACCTCTGCGTTCCGTCTTGGTGATGATACCTTTGCGACCAATATTTTGGAAATGATATGTCCAAAAAAAGGTGTCTTTTGAAAGCACGTGACTTTTCATGAAAGGATGGTTAGTTGATGAGTGTTTTCGATACATAATGTAAATCGTAAGATCAATCCAATATTGATGTCATCCGGAAATTGTAGAGTCTCGTGTAAATCTTCGGAAGTGCATCCTAAGTTAACCAAAAAACAAGAGCAAGTTATGGTGTTTCCCTGTAATAATTTGTCAACTCATCCCCTTGGTTCATGCAAACCACAAAACTTCATTCACTTCTTAGGGGAGGGGAAATGTAGTTTGGTATGGTTAATTACTGCTCATTACAGAAACTCTAAAATGTGAATTGAAATTTTATGACTTTTTTTTTGATCATGAGATCAGTTATCAAATACAGAAATTCAGGTTCCATGGCTATCACACCCATCTTGGTGTTCATTGAAGATACTACATTTAATGCTTATTTTCTTATCCTTTAAACATTAGAAATTCATGCGAACTTATTCTTGTTCTTGTTTTGCTCTCTCGCTCTTTTTTTGGGTGGGTGAGTTTGAGTGCTTAGCTATTCATCTTTATCAGATAGGTACCCAATGGTTTTTGGGTTAGTTTGCTTCATGGACAATTAAGTTAGATAATGTTCCACTGACTAAAAAAAGAGGTTAGAATTATGTTTTGCGGATCCTTATTGGGAGTTGATATTTTTCCTTCTTTGTATGTGTTTTGTCATTCCCATTTGTGTATCTGTTTTACTCTTTCTGTCTAAGGTGTGTTTCAAGGATAATTCAAACTGACATATTGAGAATTTCCTTTGTGTTGCTTATCAGAAGAACAAAATGTCCTTTGTTTTCTTTTGTGTTATCAGAAGAACAAAGTTTCCTTTGTTTTCTTTTGCGTTATCAGAAGAACATAGCATCCTTTACTCTCAAAATTATTATTTTTAAACCTTCAAAAAGTTTTAGAGCACTGGACCTGTATACCATTGGGTACCTGGAACTTCAAAAGAATATTACTATCTAAAAACTGTTTCCAACTTCAGTGCTACTAAGAAAATGTCTCGATGTGTTACAGCATTTTGGAGTATGATTCCTTCAATGAGTGAACTTCTTGGTTGAGTTGGCTTTGATTACCTGCAGTGTGCATCTTGTCGTAGTTTTTCATTTTCCAAGATTTGATGTAATTCAGTTCTGTGATTCCTGAAGTTGGTTGAATCAAGAGAAGACACAAGATGCCACTATACGACTGTATGCTGTTACTGAAACCCCATGTAAAGAAGGAGGCTATGATGGACCTCGTTGCAAAAGTTGGGAAGCATGTCTATCGAAAAAATGGCGTCCTTACAGATTTAAAGTCATTTGGAACTGTTCAACTGGGTTATGGCATTAAGAAACTAGATGGAAGATACTATCAGGTGTGTTTCTCTTGATATCCTTTACTTTCAGTAATGTTATAATCTCTCCCCTCCTCCATCCCGGTAGGTAAGTGATTTATTTGAAAGTCCCTGTATTTAACCTTGCAAGCTCCCGACCCCAAAAAAAGAAGTATGCCAGAGAAATTCCCTTTTCCACTCCCCCGGATCTGCCCAAATTTCAAATGGCTGCATGTCAAGACTAAGAATACTATTGTGTACATTTATAATGCGGATTAACTGAGTGTCAGATGCTACACATGCAAATAGGCAATCATGTTAGACGAAACCAGTTTCAGATCAAAACTTAAAATTAAGGTACTTGTAAAAAAGTTTTTTTTTTTTTGAGAAACTCAACTTGTATTATAAACAAAAGAATACACAAGGAGTGTTCTAGTAATAATTATATCCAAAGGTTGCAAAAGAAAGAAGAACTCCTATGAAGGTCATAGGAACTCTAAAATACTAGGAATATCCTCTGCATCTTGAGAATTGTAAAAAAGATTTAAAATTTAGATATGATCAATTCAAAGGAACCACCACAGAAGTATTGTCTGTTGGTGAATCTTACACTGCTTCCTTGAATCTCAAGCATTTGTCAAGGTAAATCCGTAAAGTACTCGTAAAATATTTCAAATATGATTGTCATCTGACCTTTAGCCCTTCAATTTTTCACTTTTATGTCTGGCATTTTTAAGAATTAATCCCTTTAACTGCTGTGAGAGAGCTGTTTAGCCCCAACCTCATATTTATTCTGTGCCGCTTTCCATTATCTTGGTGCATGACAAAACAAACTCCAAATTCGTTTAGGTACTGTTGCGATGACCACACCTCTGTATTCCTTTTCTGTGATGCACACATGACAATTTTTCTCGAGACCTTTAGAACTAAGCTTTTTCTTCTGTATATTTGCAAAGCAGTACAAAATAAGTCTGTCAAACTTCACTAGAAGTGTTCTTGTCCTCGGTATTTGATTATTGTTACCAACTTTTAAGGATATTGCATGTTTCTTAGGGTCAACTGATGCAAATGACAGTGATGACACCACCCAGTTTAAACAATGAACTGCATTACCTGAACAAAGAAGACCGCTTGCTCCGTTGGCTTTTGGTTAAGCATCGAGACATCAAATTTGGATTCGACTTGTTGGGTGAAGATGATGATGGCAAGGCTGAACTAAGCAAGTTTAGGAGCAACATGTATGAGGAGGAAGAAGAAGAAGAAGATGATGACGACGACGACGACGAGTATAATACTAATGAAGCCGAGACAAACAAACTAGAAAGCTGATGAATTTCACTCTGTGCTCACACCCTTTTTCCTCAATTTGATCAGCAGTCAGACTCATCGTACCATCTCAATGAACATGATATTGTTCGTCAAAAGCTACGTGGAGTGTCATGGCCAACGATTTTGTAGTGCATGCCTTTTATTGCCTAAAAAACTAGTTATACAGGATAATTTTCTTAGAATAATCCAGTTTGCAAACAACTTAGTTAAGTTCATTGTATGATTTCAAAGCTCAGTAATGAATTGATCCATTTTAGTTGGATACTGGAATGTGCCAACACCAAATAAGTGAATATAATGTCACCCTTCATTTTTCACACTTTTAATGCCCTATAGTTTTATTATGTTAAAATGTCAAATTTTGTTTATCAACCCAGGGTTGGTGAGGTTGTTGATCCTGCAGATTGAAAAGTTAGGTCACAGGTTCGAGTTGTGGAAGCAAACACTTGTGTTAGTATTTGTATATTGTCTTCATCACACTCATTTGGGTGTGATTCTACTTTGAACTCTGAACACGGAATATTTTATACACAACTGTCATGGTTAATTTCAAAGCCTAAAGGAATATACAACTATAGTATAGTCATTATGATTTGACCATAAGTTAACTAATTTATGGGATTTGAGCGAAGTACAAGATTTAGTTGATTGAAGATGAAAGTGTGCGTTGAAAAATGCTAGTGCAATTAGTTTCTTGATCACTTTTTCTTACATTTTTTGTATCATTGAATGATTTAAAAAACAGATTGTTTTATTTTCTTACTAAGCTACTATATCATATTTATTTGGTGTGAAATAAAATTAAATGATTGTGGTTGTTCGAGAAGGTAATGGTCCTTTCATCATTAAATAGAAGTTTCGTATTTGACTTAGAAGAGCAAAAATTATAGAAAAGTTTCTATTGAATTTTTATTTCATTAAGGATTATATTTAATTTTCACATAATAACTCTTGTATATCTAAGTTCAATGTGAATTTTGTCAAGAATTATGTTTAATTTTTACATAATAACTCTTGTATATCTAAGTTCAATGTGAATTTAGATTAACAAAACATTTAGTTTTAAAAATCTTAAATATAAAAATTTGAGTATAGTTTAATGGCTGATAAAGTAGATGAAACTCATGAGAGATCAACATTTATATTTCAAAACTATAACAAACAATATTAGTTAATTTATTTTAAACGTTCATATATTTAAGTTTTGATAAATAAAATTATTTATACAAATGAGTTAGGCTTCGGAAAAAGCCTCTATACCTTCACGAGGTAGTGATAAGATCTGTGTACACTCTACTCTCTCTATATACAATTTAGTGAGATTTCACTATTATGTTGTTGTTGTAAATGAGTTAGGCTCATATAATCAACGACATAATACATCGACAATCTCTTAAATTTGTCAGAAAAAATTATTTAGACGTTCGAACTACATCTTACTCCAATTGAACGTTTGAATACATGATAAAGTGTTCCTATTAGACACTTATAGTTCAAAATTTGAAAAAACTTTTGTACATTCTCAAACATCTATTAACAAGTTAAGTTAACCACATATTAAGCAAATCAACCTAAATCAAAACATGGATAGGTTTTATTGTGTAGTGAGGTTACATATCAAGTTTAAATTTCAACAGAAACAAATTCTTTTCGTCTGTCTTATCTTTGATGAAAAGAGTTATCTAGTCCCAATTGCTCCGGGGAGGTGACACATAACATGTGAAATGAGTCAAGGCGCGTGAATTCAGACGCATAGTTTTTTTCGCCCAAAATTTAAATAAAATTTGTTTAAATATTCATTAGAACTATAATTCGAGTGTTTAAACGAAATCATATAATTGTAGGTTAGATATATATAATTACATCATTATTACACAACTTAGCATTTTGCATTTCCTCCTTCACACACACAATTGCTACTTTGCTTCAAGGGTTTCGAGCTTGTGTAAATTCTCTCCATTTCTCCGATCTCTCAATCGGAATTCAAATCCCTAGAATTCGTTTTCCATCAATACAATCTCACCTCAGATTTCATAAATCTAGAAGGATCTAGAACGAAATCCTCAATTCGGAAAATCGTTGTCGATTTCTTCGAAAAAAATAATCAGAAATTGATACTTTAAGCGACGTTCTGGTGATGTGAAAGCTCGTTTTTTTGGTTTGTTTGATGATAAGGAAAGTTCTGGAAGAGTTGAGGATTTGGATTTGGATTGATTTCGTTGCTTAGAGAGTTGAAGAGGGTAAAAAAATGGATGTGGATTTAATTGGTGATGTAGCGAGGCTTGATGCTGAACTGTTGCAGCTTCCTGATGTTTCGTCGTTTGCTATCAAGGATAATCCTTTTGTTGCCCAGAAGCTTTTTGATCAATGGCTATCACTTCCAGACACGACACCTTTGGTAGTTCCACAGTGCCTAATTTTGCTAATCATTTGTGTATTTTTTTGTGTATTAGGAATTAGATTTTGGTAGCATCTTGAGCGTACCGAGGACATGACCTTAGGTAGGAGAGTTTGGATGTTGTGGAATAAGGTAGAAGGTTAGTTGGTAGTTGAGTCTAGCTTTCCTGCGATATATGCGTGGTGGTCATACTTGGACCTTCCTTCTTACCAGTAGTGTTAGCTCTATTTACGACACCTTTGGTAGTTCCACCGTGCTTAATTTTGCTGATAGTTTGTTTGTTTTGTTTTTTGATGTATTAGGAATTAGATTCTGAAATTTTAATTTGGGTCCATTCTTTTTTTTCCATAACTTGGTTGATATGGTGATAAGTGAAGGATTTTGGGCTATGAATGATTTGTAATTCATGTTAAGTATGGAACATTGTTGCCAAAATGACAAAGTTGGAATGCACCTTGGTGTGGCCTGGTGGTCTTTGAAGTGGGTTGAGCACCTTGAGGTCCACTAGTAAGTAGAAACAAAAACACTAGGTGATTTCTTTCTATCCATTGTACCCTTAGTGGACAGAGTTACCTGGTACCTAGTGGTGGGAGCTGGCTGGGTATTAGCCGAGGTGTGCAAAAGCCGTCCCGGACACAATGGTTTTCAAAAAAAAAACAGACAAGTTGGAAAAGAAGTGAAAGGGAAATTGAAATTTTTGTGGTTGGTATAACTGACAATTCCCTTGTGAATTAGCTACTCTACCCCCAGTTGGCTCATAGATTCAAACTGGTTGGATTGCCATCCCGCCAGCCTGCCACCCTTTACCGGGGTAATGCTCAAGTACCAGGCTTCAAGAAAATTGTGAAGTGTAGTTACAAGCAGTACTTTCAAGTTAGTGTGTTATTGCATCATAATGTGCTCCTATATGATCTGTCTTGTATCTCACAGAAGTGATTCTAACTACTATAATATGTTGACTTCATGAGAATGTTAAGTATATTATGTTGAGTGAAGTATCATGTTTAGTGAATGTACTGTCAAGTCCTCTAGGGTGAGGAATGATTAGAAGGCACCGTGAAGATGTATTAACCATTTTTGTGTGGCGTGTAGAAGAAAGATTTCAATAGTCTGTTGCAATTCTGTGCTCTTTCTCTGAGTTCTTTTGTCTACTTTTGTTATGATTGTACATTCTTTGGACTCTGGGATCAATTGTGTTTCTTTTGTTTGAGTGTACTCTTGTTCTTTACCAACAAAAATCCAACATTTCTCAGAGTTTGAATAATAATATGCATATAAGACTACAACAACTTGTTGCAGTCGCTGATAATGGAATCACTGTGTTCATGGAACTACTGTCTCTGAGAAGCTTTCCCAGGATGATGGAGATGTGGTGGTGCTCTGGTTTAATAGGGACTCCTCGTAAATTTTTGTATTGTTGGTGATGAACAGTGATAGTAATGCTTGAGGATGTTCGGCATTGTATTGTATTGTTGGTGCTTTGGATGTTCACACGTGTTTGAGCTTTTAAGAATTGAACATTGAACTGATGGACTATTGAACATCCATGTGGATTTTTCTCAGTACTGGGGGCCTATGATGCTTTGTGCTGTCTGCCCTGCATTATTTCAAATAGAAGCGATGATTTATGCATTTCCCCCCGTTTCATTTAAATATAGTTGTTGATCTCAGGTTGATTGGCAAATGGAAAGTAATCTTTTTCACTACATGCAGGTGAAAAATTTGATTAATAATGCTAAAGCTGGTGGTCCCTTGAATGCGACTGGAACTTCTTCCAGCACAAATGTAGCAACAAGCAGTTCTTTGCCGTCTATGTTTCCGGCTGGAAGTACCCCTCCTCTTTCCCCAAGAAGTTCATCTGGTTCGCCACGAACAACGAGACCCAGGGCAGGCCCCTCTATGTTAGGATCCCCTTTGAAATTAGTGAACGAGCCTGTTAAAGAGCTAATACCACAGGTATGGAAACGTTGCATAACTAATTCAGGGTGATGCCTTTGTTTTTTTTGGCACAGACAGATTGTGATGATTTCTCCTTTTTGATCAAATGCATATGATGATAGCAGTTCTATTTTCAAAATGGCCGTCCACCTCCAAATGAATTGAAGGAACGCTGCTTGTTTAGAATAAACCAGTTTTTCTATGGTCACACGGATGGACTACAAATGGATGGTAAGGTTCCCCCTTTTTTCTTGGGTGGGGGTAGGGGCGGGGTAATAAACCAAATATAAGCATAATACTAAGCTGGATCACGTATTTTTTTATAAGAAAAAGTTTCTTGATACTTAAAGAGTAGTTTATCATTATTTATGCTAGCTATATGGGCAGTTGACCTTTATGATGCGACTTATTATTATTTATGTGTGCATCTTGACATTCCATTTAAGTTATTTTTTCCTTGGTTGTCAGAATTCAAACCAATTACTAAGGAAATATGCAAGTTACCATCGTTCTTCTCCACGGTTCTTTTTAGGAAGATTGATGTTGATAGAACAGGCATCATAACAAGGTAAATGTTATCTTTCTTCTGAATTCTCGAGATGATTCGTTAACTCTTTTGGGTATTTCCTAGAAGGTCATCTGCACCTTCAGAAAGTGGAAATGAAAATATGGGATGAAGGCCATCCCTTCTTCCTTTAACATCTTTCTATGTCTTTTTGTCCTCTTCTAACATGTTTCTATAAGATATATAAGAATACGTTTTCTTGAACAGATATCCTTCTATATGTTTTTGAAGTTCGATATAAAGTGTATTTTTCTTTTTTTTTTGGGAGGTTCTAAAGTTAGTCAGATCTGTTGCATTGTGACAGAACAT